TTTCCACTCCATGCCTGGTTTATTGAGTATTTAATTTTTCAACATCAGCGGCACCTTGTATGCATTCCATGAACACATGCCTGGCACTTAATACAGCCAGCGTTCTGCTCTTTCAATTATTTGTCTTGAGTCCTCAAGGATAGGGTCAATTATAAATAGCAAAGGAAACAGTCCTTCTCTAATTATGTTGAAATACCAGTTATTTCCTTGAGTTGCTGCTATGTTGTTTTCTTTAACCAATCAAAAGTTACCCTCTGACATGTCACTAAAAAGCAACTAAGGACCAATGAGTTTTAATGCAATGCCCACTAAAAGATATCTGCCCTTTTTTGATCCTACTGTACCTTACAAGGGGAAAAAAGGTCTCTAATGACAACTGACATAACAGAAAATGCATTAAAAGCACATAGACACTTCTAGCAACTGTGCTAGCCTAGCTCTTTCTTGGCAAATGAAAACCACATGTACATTGTATCTCTCAGAGGACTCTGCTAAAAGCACACAGCCAACCCTTTAACCCTCATTCATTTTATTATCTACCAGTTTGTGTAAGGGAGCTGTCTTACACAACTTTATACTGCACCTATGTTCCTTTAATGTCACAATGCTACTTTCCCCTCTGCCACACTCTTATACACCCAGTCTTTCATAAAGCTAGAAGAACTTGAATATTTGGTATTTAGTCTGGCCTTAACACATCAACTAAACATCTATCCATCTACACTTTCCTGCAAATCAAGCTTCACTTTTATTAACCTGAGCACAACTTTAGTAGAAAAAGATATAAATGCAGACAGCAGTGGAAGAAAGGGAAATGGAATACTGAATCTGACTGAAATAAAAGATGGCACTGATGAGGTAAAAAAAAGACCAAGTCAGCTGCAATTCACTCGGGCAGAGAACAAGCCTTGAGGAAAGCTTTTCTTTTGAAAACTGGTCTAAACGAGAGATGTTGTATTTGTTGCCACAGAACAAAGGATGTGATTTGCTCAGGGAAGAAGGGGAGGCTGTCCTCTTCTTCCCCAAGCAGCTCCTCTGGTTTGCTTCTGTGCAATTTGGTTACCAGGAACTATATAAATGCTCTCCTTCCCTAGCTTTATTCTTTTCCTCCTTGCAGACTCTAGCTTCAGGTCATGAACCGGTTGGATGCAGAGGGATGGTGGGTGGAACCAGCTAGGGAACTACCGAGGGAAGAAGGCTCAGAGCCAGGGGATTGATTGTAGGCTGATGATGAGCTGTCAGAGGGAGAAGAGGGGGACGACTGTTAGGAGCATCCTCCTGTCGTGTAGGGCCCTGGTAGAGAAACATGCCCAACTGGCATGTTCTCTCCCTCCTGGTCGATCGTTCGGGAGCTTCAAAAGCTTTCTTCTGCCTGAACATCACAGCTACTGATGACAACAGACATTGGCACACTTAGGGATACGCAGAGTCTCCACAGTTTGCGTAACAGAACCAATAGCACAGCATTTTGGCTAATCTACGTTTATTTACATATAATACACTCAGCGCTTTCTGACTTAGCTCCTCCCTCTTTCTCATCAGACAGCAAAGAGAGAAAGGAACAAAGGACAATAGACTTCCGGGGTGGCGCCTCCGAAAAATGGCGGAATTCCCTTCGAACTGAAGGGAACCCGCTGCACGGAGGCTTGGGTCCTGCCGCTACGGCGCAGCGGGGGCCCTCAAAAACCACAGGCGGAAGAAGCCTGTGGCCGTGGGACGCGGCGGGCACCGAGAGCGCTCTCTCCCCTCGTACAGGAGCCCGGCAACGGGCTCCTGAGCGGGAGGTGCGTGGTGCTGTGAGTCGACTGCTCCCTCCGTGCAGCAAAGCCGCACGGCCGATTTCGGAGAGCGCTGCCTTCTTCTTGGACAATCTGGCATTTAAAACATCTATCCGTGAGTACCTGATCTTGGAAGAGCTGAACTACTTTTAAGATTGGAGAACAATTAAATAATATTGGATCTGGACTTGAAATTGAACTTAATTGGGACTCGGAACGGAAAGGTCTAAACAGGAAGTCAACCTTCCGTTCTTTTGTTAAGCGAAGAAAGCAAAGATAAATTATACTAAAGCTTGAAAATTAAATTCTGAGAGAACTAAAATTCAACACCTAAGATTTCTGAACCCCCCTTTGACTGCAGGAGAAGAAGGGGGTGGTTTTGGTTTTTTTTAACCCTGTGGAAGTGAGTTTAAAATAAAGTAATTTTCCACCGCCCTGAACCAGGAGCGGGCTGTCAGAATTGACGTCTTGAAGTGTATCCAGCTCGACAGATAGTTAAAAGAAGGGTAACATTTTGACTTTACTGTTGCCTCTTAGGGAATTTTGGACAAAGTGTTTTTGGAAAAAGTAAGATTGTTGCAAAAGTAAAATTTGTTCCATCTAGTGGAACTGAGTGAAATTGCAATGCAGAGAGCTAAAAAAGAAGAGCTATTCTCGTGGGAAAGAATTCTTTTCGACCTTGAAGGACAATGCTAGTACAAAGGCTTCAACAAGTGTTCCTGGAAGGTTTTGCAAAATTAAGTGCCCAGCTGGACCAGATGCGTCAGGAGTCGACCTTGATGATGGAAGTCACCAGAGCACAGCAGCAAACAAATGAAATTCAGTTAAAGTCTATACAAGTATATGAACCTGCTGTAGTGATGGAGGCTTCAGAGATGGAGGGACCATTGGATGGGCAAGATCAGCTTTTGAACTTGATAAATGAACTTGGGGCAAATCTGATGGGCCATCAGAAGATTGGAGTAGTTGAAGTCTCCAAGCTCTGTGGAAAATGGAACTGGCATTATCTGCTCTCTGGCCTGGGTAATGGGTCTGGAATGGACTTGCTGCAAAGAGTTAAAAGCATTTCTCTGCTGGAGTCTCCACGATTGAAAGGGAAACATCAACAAGAGCGGCGAAAGGGGCAAGAAAGAGACTTGAGAGCCTCGGATACGAGACAACCAGGTTAACGAGTTGGATTATTGAAGTTAAAAGGACTGACAATCTTGGGTCCTGGGGAGGGGAGGCTGGAAGTTGACTGGGCTGAATTTGACTTACTATTTTTTCTTTTTTACTTCTTAATATTGGGAATGTTTATAAATGTCTGAAGGGTGTTGAATGAAATTACATGGCTTAAGTAAGGATTGGTAAATGATGTGTAAAAAGGTAATGATGTAAGAATTTGCTAAATATTGAATATTGAATTAAAGTTTTTATATGACAAGAGGGAAAATAGAATAAGGAAATGTAATGATAGATTGTTGTGGAGAAGAAAAAAAAGACAGAAAGGATTTGCTGTGAAAATTAAAAACTAAGAAACAAGAGAGGGGAGGAGGAGGAAGTCTAGAAAGGAAGTTAATGGAGATGGTAAAGAACTACATTTTTCTATTTTTCTGTTTTTCTTTTTTTTCTTTTTGCGGCTGGGTTTTCTTTTCTTTTTCTTTAATATTTTTGTATTACTTTTGTTATTTTTGTATTTTCAACTTTTTTTGGAAATTTTGTTGTTATCCTTTGAAAATTTAATAAATATCAATTTAAAAAAAAAAAAAAAAAAAGGAACAAAGGACAATAGTCCCACTTCATGGAACACAGTAACACAAACATCCTGTCTCCGTCACTTCCCACACTGTGGAATGAAAACAATCCCATGACTGCAGACACGGAGAATGAATCTCCAACAATGACTAGGAGAAGGAGGTTTGGAAGCTGAAGAGGTAGCAGGGTTTAGTAAGCAGGCAGAGGCTGTGGCAGAGAGTACAGCGGTACCTCGGGTTACAGACGCTTCAGGTTACAGACTCTGCTAACCCAGAAATAGTACCTCAGGTTAAGAACTTTGCTTCAGGATGAGAACAGAAATCGGGTGGCGGCAGCTGGAAGCCCCATTAGCTAAAGTGGTACCTCAGGTTAAGAGCAGTTTCAGGTTAAGAACGGACCTCCAGAACGAATTAAGTTCTTAACCCAAGGTACCACAGTAGTCTAGAATCAGAGGCAGAAGCTGAAGCAGGAGAGTGAGATGAGGAAGGCCAAGAGGCAGAGATGAGCCAGCCTGGGTATCTCTCCCTCCTACTGTGACAGGCTCCCCTCCCCTTGTCTCCCAGAACCAGAAGAGGCATGAAAATATTGGCTTTGTGCAGGCGCATTCTCCTATTGCTTGATTGTGTTCTTGCTAATAAAGAGTTAATTCCAACTTGAACAGTGTGATTTACTGCCAACTCACTGTCACTTCTCCTCCCATGTGTGTGTGTGTGCACGCACATGAGTGTGTGCTAGCACTAGGGAGGATAGAAAAAGTGTGTGTCAGGAGAGAAAGACACACATACAGAGACAGACAGATTGTGTGATAGGGCCTGCCTCCAACTCACCAGATTGAATGGCCACCCACTGCCAATGGATGCAACCCATTATGTATATCAGTTTTCAATAACTCTTGAAATTGATACCTTTTAGTTTAGTCTCATGCTCTAGACATGTTTTTGCATATGGCAATATTGTGCCATATCTAGAGGGCACTCTTGCATGCAGAAAGTATCTGCGATGAATTGCAAGCTTTCATGGCCAATAATGCTTTCCTGTGGGATGTGTTTAATAATACTAAACATAATGTAAAATATGCCAAAATTCCATTCCAAGGAAAAATATATTATTAAATTTCCAAAGGAATGACATAAATCAAATGCTTGTTTATGAGCTTCTATTTCAGTAGCACAGTATCTACAAACATTGTGCAAATCCCACAGGGAATATTTTATGACATCACAAAGGAATCCCTTTGTTTATTTAAAGGAAAGGATGAAATGGGTGTATTAGCATATTCTGTCTGGCATCTAACAGAGTCCTAATGCATTCTTTTAAATTCATTATCTCACTTTCCTCTTATTGTGAAAGTCCAGACTTGAGCATGCAAATCTGTCCTTAATAATATAAAAACCATGAACAAATTATGTTTTATATTTATAGTCAAAGCTGATGACAACTTGTCCTTTCAGCATATTGCATTAAAGAGGAAGTATAAATGTTTATTCAACTTTTTAAATTTTAAACATTGCCAACAGAGAGGCAATACTAAATAAAACTGTGCTCTGAAGCTCTTCTCCCCTCCACGTAGTCCCACCGATTGCTTCTGAAATGACAGGTAAATAAGGTAATGCTGTAAATAAGCTTTTTTTCTACATTGGGCATCATAGGCAGCAAGTCTGTCACCATTGCAGTGGCTGTTTGCACATCCTGCCTCAAGTGCTAGGTCACAGTAGCGGGTTGTGTGAACTTTTGCCCTTTTCAATGAGTTACTTTAAGGAAGGAGGAATTGGATTGTGAAACTTCCTTGTGACTGACTCAACCTCTCAAGAATAAATGTGCTGGAAAGCCTTTGTGTGAGGTCCACTGAAAGAGCCTTCAAGAGGCCTTAAATAAATTGCTTCACAGTTGGGGGGGACGGGTGAGTTTGGCTGCACTTGATCATGGTCTTGGTAAATTGAAATGTGCTGACGTATTACTGAGCAACAATGATTTCCAACCAAAGAATATTCCAGGGTGGTATGCATTTACAACGGGAGCAAAATACAACCAGAGAATGAAAACTAGCATTGCTTCCCTTTGGTTAATGTAAATCAAACCTGAACAGTTACTTTCACAATACAGTGATACCTCGGGTTAAGTACTTAATTCATTCTGGAGGTCCGTTCTTAACCTGAAACTGTTCTTAACCTGAAGCACCACTTTAGCTAATGGGGCCTCCTGCTGCTGCCGCTCTGTAAGAGCACAATTTCTGTTCTCATCCTGAAGCAAAGTTCTTAACCTGAAGCACTATTTCTGGGTTAGCGGAGTGTGTAACCTGAAGCGTATGTAACCCGAGGTACCACTGTATAGTTGTTACAGACAGCCTCACTGAAGATGGGTGCTGGGTGACACTGCTAATATAATGGGTGCAATAATTAACACCCCCCATCATATTCACACAGCAGAGGTCAATAATTAATTGTTTGTACTACCTTTTATGTTTAGCAGTCACAAAGGTATTTTTCTGTGAAGACCCACTCCCTACCCAGAGGTTCAAAGTATGAGGAGGCACTACAGGGGGCAACCATTTTGCATGCATCCAATTGGTGCATGACCGCTGATGCAGATCCTTTTGGACCAGGAAAAGGGCAAACCAGGGACAGGCGTAATGAGGCGGGCTTATGCACACTCCACCAATGTGTGCAGGAGCCCAGAATGGAAGCCTATGCAAAATGGTCACCCCCTGTACTGTACATTTATTTAATTGCACTCTTTGAGGTTTTAACAAAACTTAATTTAAAACACACACTCTTTTCAGAGCAGCTTTTAAGCAGCACTCGTTTGAAACCAAGTGTCCTGAAACCCTGGCCTACCTTGCAACAAGTCAGTATGCCAAGTCTAAAATCCAAAGTCCAAGGGTCCAGAAACACAGTCCAGGGTCAATCCATGTAGAGTTGTAGACCAAGTCTGACGCAGTCAGGATACAGTTCAGAGTCACACCCAAAGCACAGTACCCTAAGGGCCAGGAACATGGATCGTTGAGCAGACACAGACCCTCAGCTCTGCTTTAGCTTTTATACCTTCCATGCTGATTGCAGCATCTGGGCTTGGTGAGACATGTGACCCTCACTTGCTTCAAGCCTACTCCAGCTGAAGAAGAACACATGTTCTCTCAGAGCTAGCAAGCCCCACCTGGCCAGCTAGGGAACTGGGCTGTGGGCCTTTGCCTGCCTCAGCCTCCTGGAGCACCCCGTCTGCTGCTCCCAATGCCTCAGAGTCTGCTGCTTTCGTGGGGACAGGGCCCTCTCTGGTGATGTGTCCTGCCGCTCTGGTTTCTGTGCACTGACCTCCAATCCCTCACCAACCTCCGTCACCCTGTGAGTACTTCGTTCCCCATCCTCTGCTTCCCCAGTGTGTCCCAGTCCTGGCTCCAGCCTTCTTCCTTCTCACCATAATCCTGCCAGTTCATGACACCAAGTCTCAGAGGTAGACTTTTCCCACCTAGAATGGCTGTCAGTGTTCTAACCAAGAACAACCACTCAGCTCTTTCTAGGACTTAACTTATCCACTGGGAATCCAAACCAGGTTTCCCTGCCAATACTAAAGACTTGGTCCCTTGCAAAGGCCAACAAAAAATCAGGAGTGTGTTGAACTACCCTAATTCCCCATCAGAGGATCTCAATGATCAAGATGGAGCATGGGATCAGATCATCCTAAAGGTACTTTGGGCCCAAGTTGTTTGATCCAGCAGCTTCTGGAAGGATCCAGATTGGGGAAGGCTGATACAGTGGATTCATTTTGTTGTATGAAGACTATGCAATGCGAATAGGCTCTGTCGTAAGTAGCCGCTTCCAGGTATGGCATTTGCACATATGTGCTCACATGCCAGCCCAGTATAAGCCCCACTTAATTGTCCCATTCTTCCCAGCTGCTAGTCTATGGCTGCCCATTTCTCTTTCTCCTTTCTTTAGCTGTGGTTTCCCAATGACTGGCTTCTTTTCGCTCTAACTCTATTCAGCAGCATCTCAACAATGAATTAAGAAAACTAACTTGCTATTTGCTTCCCAGAGGTATTGAGCAATGAAAAGACTTGAACATGAACAGGACAATAGAGAGAATGCAGAGATGCCATGTCACTGAGCTCTTTCTGAATAGAAGACATATTCCTATTTCATTTTGCAAGGTACTTCTTTGGGAGATATTTATTTGTAGTGACATTAATCAAATGTAAAAAGCTAGATGTAAGTAGCACAACTGGTAGTGCTATGATCAGATATGTTTAGACCTGTGTTCATATAGTAGCATATATTTCTAGGTAGCAAGGGTTTTCCTCTTGCAATTATTCAATGGCATCAAAATTAGGCTTTGGGAAAACATTGTTTCAAGGTTTTGACCTTTTCAGTCGGTACTCAAGTGTATGTTTTCCATCTAAATCTTGTACAGCTGAGCCACTGACATTTCCAGTTTCTGCAGACCTAGATCTGGAAACAGCAGCCAGCAAAATCACAGAAGATATTGTGTGCCTTAGTTTACATTAATTTGACAGCCTAAATAGGATTGTCGCTTAATATGCCTGTCAAGTGTAGCTAAATAGCCCTGACACTTAAATTACATAGCTGCATATCTTCTGCACAATGAACCAGGGAGGATTCAGAGATAGACCATTCATAACTTCCCAGGTTTGATCCCAGGTAAAAAGCATCAAGTAGAAAATGATGTAAAATACCTTTGCCCATGTCCCCAAAGAGCTGTTTCTAGTCACAGAAGATAATGCTGATCTGGACTGACAAATAGTCTGATATGGCGAGATGCAGTTCCCTATGTTCTTAACATGCAATGCAATTCCTGAGAATCGGTTACTGTTTTGCAAAATATTTCTACTCTATATGAATGCTGAGAAAAAATTATGTTCACTGTCCAATTGCAGAGGTGGAGTAGACTAGTTTTCAGTGATGAGATGTGGAGCCCACTCAATGTGTCTGTGCCTCCATTGCTTGGTTGCTAGGCCAAGACCTTGAAGGGACTTCTACAATGTCTATAAAGAGACTGTGAACATGTACCATTTTCTTTTCAAAGTGCTGAAATTACCAGGGAAGTCACACGTGAGAATTCAGTCTGACTTTCATTTTACAGGAACCTTTTCAGGGCCTGGACCTGGCAACATTACTCCCCAGTTTCTGGTATCCATGTTTTCATCTTCCGCCTTCTTGCTCTGTCATTGCCTTATATACCCAACTTAACTGTGCACTCTACAGATGAGCGCCTCCTGCAGATAGCATTTTATCTGGAGGTCCATTTCACACAATGTAGGAATCAGCCCTTAAGTGTTGTGGCATTAATGTGTGGCATGCACTGGGGAAAAAGGAATCACTTGTATTTCAGTTTTCTATTGATAGTTTATGTCAGGGATGTCTTCCTGAATAAAATTTCATGTATGAATGACAAATGCTCCCTCCTGCCCCTTAATTATGGCTGAATCTTAAAAACAACAACAACTCAGATCTAAACAGAGGTATACCACCACCTCTATTCAAAATTGTGTAACTGTATTTATAAATGGAGCTGTAAAAAATCCACAGCATAATTGAGCAATCACTACGCATAAGTAAGTCCCATTGACTTCATTGTGGTTTGCTGCAGGACTATTGAACCCAGTGGATTTACTTTTAAATTTGCGTAGAATTTGTCTAGCCTTTACATAATTAGAGAACAGGACAGGTTCTGTCACCATTGCATAGGATGCTGATGACAGAAGAGTTTGTTTATGTGAACACGTATCATTCCAAGTTTCATTTAAGACAGCCAAAGATAATCTTGAGACAGCTGGAAGAAAGACTTTGATTTGTTGCAGGTGGCTAGTGTGAGCTCTGTTTTATTACTAGCTCTTTGATTTGTATGACCTCACCAGGATCTGTTTTATCAGTGAACATGGGAGGTTGCTTAACTGAAGCAGGCAGTAAGCCCACCTTACCCAGTAAGTTTTCTCTGACAAATAGCAGCTCTACAAGGTCTTAGGGCAGGGGTTTCTTCTGACCCCTGTAATCTGTGATCTGCTAATGGATGATTTATTTTTATTATTTTTATTTTATTTTATTTTATAGCACATTTATGCCACTCAATATTTCAAAAGTATCAAAGTAATTTAGAATTTAAAACAAATTATATCACTGAAGCATTTAAAAAAACCAAAACCTCAACTTAGAAACAGTAAAATGGCAATATGGAAACCTCTGAATATTTGCTGCACTGTCAACTGGTGTAAACCAAGCCGCTGTTTAACTTTGCCACAAGGATGGTGTTAATTCATAGAGCAAGCGGGGCTGTAACAATGGAAGCCCCCTCCTGTCAAAGTGCCCCCGCTGTAACCTTCCAATGTGGACAGTGCACTCTTTTCACGCTTCCTGCACATCAAAACATAGAAGCTGTTTCCCCTTCCCGCTGCCTCTTTCCTTTCCAGTACCGTACAAACAACAAAAGTGAGAAATGAGGGAAACAAGACTTTTAAGCAAGGAATCCCCTGGGGTTGAAGCAAGAAGGTAAACTGCTGTAAAAGATCCACATGCATGTTATAACCTAAATTAGATTATTTCCTTGGAAACAACTCTTCTGCTCCCCCATAGATTCCTCTGCGAGAACCCAATTGTCCTTCAAAGGTGGAAATGTCATAATTCCGACACGCTTCTGTAAGCTTTCTGGTGTTTTATTCTGAGTGCCAAATTCGAAATTGCAAGTGTTAGATAACTCAGCAAGCCATCTGTATGATGCAAACCATTTTACACACAGTATTTGTTTGCCTTGAATGCATGGAATGAAAGTGCTGATCACATCACTGCAACTCATAAAGTAAATAGATCAAGATGCCACATATTTGACCCTAAATGCCATGGTCCAGTGAGCCTTTTTATACAAAATATGCTCAGCTGCAGTGTTGTCTATCAGGTGGTTATAAAAAAAACCCCTACAACGCAAAATCTGAGGCTAAGGTTGCTTTCCTATGTACACTTACTGGGGTGCAAGGCCCAATGAACACTGTCAGCTTGACTAATATTACTGTGCACTGTAAAAGTTAAAGGCGCTTTGTATATAACTTCTAGCCCTTAATTCCTTTTTCATTTGATTTATGAATTCTCTTTTACAAGGTCATTTACAAACATACAATAAGAACAGCTAAAACCAGTAAACAAAAATAACAACTAAAGATAGGGTTTAAAGCTATGCAAGAGGAACCCCTAAGAAAGAGATCTAGGTAGAAGGAAGATCCGAGAAAGGAATCTGTGTTTAATGGTTTAGACCCAAGAGTTCTCCTCCCATACCATCTTGTCCACTTCCTAAGATCAGAAGCAGATGTCCTCCTCTAGGGTTGACACCTTTGGCTGGGCAAGATAAAGGACAGGTTGGGGAGGAGTGGGGGAGGGCCACTCTCAGGACACCAAATCCCCCCCTTTGCATTTTTATTGTGATATTTCTTGTATTTTCGGCTATGATTTTATGGGAGGGTGTCATGATACATCAGATCTTCTCCAAGCTTGGAAAAAAAGCTCTGACCATGGAGAGAGGAACCTCATGTCAGGTTTTACCTCCTTGAGGCAATTTCTGCAGCCCTGACTCTACAGAAAACAGAGCTCTGACACTGGCAGGATGAAAAGGGGCAGGGCTCAGAGAAGGAGCACAAGAAGGCTTGGATCTGAAGGAGCCAATGCCTGTGCAATCCTGAGGAGGAATTTTTACCAGCCCGGGATCTGGCGTAAATTGGTCCCATTTATTTCCTTCCTGTTGTTTCCAAAGGGAGAGGAAAGTGTTTTTGTTTTGTTTTTAATGGGGAAAGGGCAGAAGGGTACAAGAGTGCCGCCCTGTCCTCATTTGCACCCTTCTGGCAAGAGCTGCACTGAGTGCCATGGACACTAGGAGAGTGGGATTGAAGATGCTCACAGTGGCATTGACTGGGGTATGCGCACTCAGCCCGCCATGGGGCTGGGGTGCACTGCCAGAGCAACACCTGCACACTGGCCAGCCAGCTTTGAGGGGTGCGCTCACAGTGCCCTGCAAGCCCAGTATCACTTTGCAAGACTTGCAAAAACAGTGCTGGACTCACAGGGCACCACGAGCTGTTGCGTCCTTCTCAGACACCCTCCAGCTGGAGGGCAGCTAAGAAGGGCGCAATAGCTCATGACGCCCCACACCCTCCCCTTAAACTGCACCCAGGGCAATTGTCCCTCCAGCCCCCCCTCCCATGCTATGCCTCTGAATGTTCATATAAGTAAATGAATACATATGGGCTAAGTCTGATTTGCCATGAAATTGCATTGCACACTCATTCACCGCAAGCTGAAGTAGCTGTTGGGGAACCTTGAACTACTGGATGGAGTTTCACATCTGCTTGACGGTTTATTATCACTTAGCACAGGGCTTAATAAAAGCCAGAGGTCCATCTGAGAACTATGCAAAAGTAGTAATGAGGCAGCAATGGGGTGGTAGGGAATTCTAGGAAACAGCAGGATGTGGAAATTAGAGAAATGACAATTGCAAATTTCAATGTAAACTGACCTGATCTACATCTAGCGATGGGAGAACATGCCAACTTTGGTTTCTCTTAATTACTCATGTGTCCAGTCTTAAGTCTGGTTCTCCACATATTCACATCAGTTTGCAAATTCATGTCCATGAAAATTCATTGGCACCTTAGCGCATTCCGTGCCCCCCAATATATATACATTTTAATGGAATTTTGCCTATTATCCACATTTTTTCAAACCATTTTTCTCTCATATTATGTACTTCTGTATGATGATTTCACTAATACATGCATTTTTATGCACATTTTACCCCAAATTAATACTGTATGTTTTATGAGGGAGGGAATCAATTGTGTGGCACCCCCCACTCCAACTCAGGGAAAATTTGTTCCTTTTTTTCTTATAGTAGACCAGTATGAAGTAAGCAGCACATAAACAGCACACAAAACACTACCAAACCATTCTACGTTCTAAATCTTAAATTAATAATCCAAAAATTGAGAGAGCAAGGTACAAGATCTGCTACAGAAACCACAAACAGAAAACTCATTCAAATTGGGTCCAAAAGGAAGATTCAGTCTTTAAAGTTCCTTTAGCCAGGCTCCTGTAGATATCAACAAAGGTAAGTTTGATCAAACGAAGTGTCGGCGATGTTACCCTCAAGGGTTTTCTGTTTGTGGCTTCTTTAGTAGATCTTGTACCTTGCTCTCTCAATTTTTGGATTATTAATATAAGATTTAGAATGTGCTGCTTACTTCATATTGGTCTACTACAAGAATTGGCAGCATAGGTTCATTTCTTCAGTACTGCTACTCACCTTTTATTCTTATGGCTTAATACTGCAAGATCCCCCACTTTCCAGCTCTGTTATGTTACAGAGCGTATCAACAAACATACAGGTTTAAGAGCCTGAACTGAACCATCTCACGGGCTGAAGCAATGCATATGCTAAGCATTAAAAGGAGCTAGAGCTTCTTTTGGCAGAGTGGGGTTTCGTTGGATTAGGCTGCCCATGGTGTGAGAGGGGGTGGTAGAACGCAAAGTCATACAAACAACGTTTTGCCACTGTGTGCAAATGGAATCCAGCACTAAAGGGGAACTTTGGCTTGAAACAGGATGAAAGACTAAACCACTGGGGAGATGCAATTGAGTGGCCTCTACTGTGTGGGTCTCTCCATTTGTGCACCTAGTCTCAGTTCAGCTACCAAATGCCAGATGTGGAACAGCTTCCATTGCGCTGATATCTTCTTTGCTGAGGGCCCTGTCATATTAGCCTGTCTGAACAGTCTGCTGCTGGACTTCCCAGAACGCATAAAAGCTAATAAACACACCTATGCTATGTCAAAAGTAAAAGCAACATTAATCTAGCAAATAGAGGCTATATTTAGCCAAGTGTAATGTTCCTATATTCCCTCCTCCCTTCACACACATACTGGTCAGGCTTTACAGAATATGTAGCTGAAGGGTTGTATTCAGCACTGGCATTGTGTTTGTGCGGCAGAACTTGCCCTCCCACTCCTCATGCCCCCTCCCCAAATATGCTCTAGGTTAGGAGAATACTCAGAATAGATTAGGGAAAGATTGGGCAAATCAGAGGGAAGGGAAGTTCCATATTGTGCGTGCTGAAGTCCTTGCACAAATGGTATGACTACATTGGAATCCGGATTAGTTTTTCTACTTGTCTAGATTCCAAATTATGGTTTGGACTGGACAACCTTCATACAGCATATATGCATACAGCAGGTATGTTCAAATAGTGTGGAAGCTGCTTCTTCTGCTCTTCCTGCTTCAATTCTCTCCTGGGTTTGGGAGACAGTGGAGCAGGAGAAGGTGGGGAAGCACCTGGCCCTTCACTTGCCTGCCTGCCTCTTCCTCCTCTTCCTCCAGCTCTGAAGCTTTTCTGCCTCTGATTCTTGCCTCCTGGCTGCTACAAGTCCCCACAAACCATTTCCCCCTCTCTTGAGTCAGACTTCAGCCCCCTTTCTTGCTGCACATTCATCAGTTTCCTTCCAGTTCCTGACAATAATACTGCGGCATTGCTACATGAGGAGCAGTGGACTGCTGAACAGAAAGTACAAATCCGAGCATGAAAGTAATATAACTTGATTAAAGAGAGCTGGCATTGTGATATTAGGCTAAAATCAAGAGTAACATTCTGGTATTTTATGGAAAACACGACCTAGTGATTTCTGGTCATGCATGTAGACTCTCAGAACCTATGTTTCTACGTTTGCTGCTAGCTATAAATAATGATCACAAGTTACAAGGGTGTGTCTAGTAGTTCACAAAGGCAAACTCTGTACAAATTGCATAATTTCTTCTCCTCCCCCTCCTCCTCCTCCTCCTCCTCCTTCTCCTTCTATTTTTCACTTACATAAAAGACTGAATAAGGAGCCCAGAACTTTGTCTCATTGGTTGCATATTATACACACAAACTTGCTCCGTGTAGACTATGGTGCAAGAATCAGTCCTAACATTTCTTTGCATAGCAATACTAGTAGTCAGATCTCTTTATAGAAATGTAGGTCTTTCTTATTTTACTTGCACATAAATAGGGAGCAAATGCATGGGCATTTACATGACTTTACTTAAAAATAATAGCTACATCTGTTTTAATGCTGTGATTTAGCTTACATTACAGCATTCTGAAAGCTACAACATAATTTTTTTTATCATGCATCCACAAATGTCTTATGGGTATATTATTTTAATTTGCAATGAAATAAGAAGAAAAAAAACTGCTAATTACAAGATACACACTGTTAGGACACCTTAGGGGTTAACTGTTGATTTGTAATTAGCCCCAATTAAACACACATATCCTAAGCAATTTATTATAGTTACATCCTGCTGTCTTGAGGTGCCCTCACAGATCTAGCCACCAAGGGATGTAATATAGATTGACAATTACTATATGCAGTGCTTTTTAAATGTGCCAGTACTTACAAACTACAGTTCCCAAGGTTCTTTGGGGGTAATGCTTTAAATGTAGTGTGTCCACAGCTGTATTGCATTTTTTAAATAGAAAACCCTACTAATTGTTTTTAAATTTGCACCTGTACCTAAAAATTAAAATAACCATTTTTTCCTCTGGTGATGCACAAATGGGCAACCTCATCACAGCAGTCCTAGAAATCAAAGCAGGGATGTCTGTGTGAAGGAATATTTCATATAAAACATGCTTCCACAAATCACTGTACTTGGGACAGTTGGTAGGGATAGTGTGGAAACTGCTTGCCTGTGTGAATTTGCCTCCAGAGTCATATCAACTTGTGTTCAATTAGCTTTCTGTAAAATCCCCAAACAGCATGACACTGCACACAACTTATTAGAGGTACCTGTCCTTGAGTGCAAAGGGGATTACTTTCAGATAAGCTGGTGTAAGATTGTAGAATTTTGTGTAATGTAAATGAGCTTGTTTGGTTTAGTTGCCTCTGAATCTGCTCCAAATAGTTTGAATTTTGAAGAAAGGGATAGATTACGCATACACACTAAATGAGAGGAGGGAGGTTAGAGAATTTTTTAGCAAAGTAAAACAAGCATTCATTGCATACTGGTCCCCTACACAAGGGAGAAGGTTTGTGTTTCTGCCCCTCCCTCCCTGGGGCCATAGGAGTGCCATGGGGGCTTTGGCCCCCATAATAAAATATTTGTGG